AAAACTGCTGTATGCAAAATACACAACTTCTTCAATAAACATTACACCACTAGGTGAGTGTTTCAATAACTAATCGGAAGCAGGCCTAACGTTCCTTGATTTTTCCCGAACCTTTAAGAACACAGTAAAACCAAAGAGAAAAATTCATGAAATATTTCCACAGAGGTTCCCTTCCCTGGGTGTGACCCTTGATTCACCCGACCAGTTTGTTACTTCTGTGGTTCTTCAGAGGAGAGGAAAAGGTGTCCCCTAAAACCCCTCAACAAGCCAGTTTGACACATGAAATATTGATCAACCCATTCAACTGCCTCACAAATTTTCCGAGATTCAAATCTGCTTTTCTTGCTATGTCAGGATATTTTAAGTAAGAAGATTAATCTCCCTCACATCTGCTTCTCCAAATGACTCTGCTGACACATCATCCTGAGAAGGGAACCTGGCTGTCTTTACCAAAAGTATACAGCCCCAGCTTCTTGCTTTCCCCAGTGGTTGGAGCTCCATGCCTCTTATTATAGGCTAAGGAAGAAAAACTAGGTTGGGATACGTCTATAATCACCATTCCTGAGAATTACTTCTGTTAAATTTGCTAGTGTCAATCACACAAGAACAGTATTTCATCACTAGAAAATCCTAGTTGCTGAAATCTTTTTAGTAACTTAATCAGCAATACTCAGACACTAAGCCACATCTAGCTCTTGCAACACCCAAGATTTTGTTACAATCCCCAGACTTTTTAGATTATTTTCTGGTAAGCTCCTGTTCTGATTTTAGAAATGATTCAATAACGTGCATAGCTGTGATCAAGTTTACATAAAAGGTGTTGGGTATGCGTGTGTGCATGCGTGCATGTGTGTGTGATATCCTCAGGGTTTCAGCAGGTATTAAACCACAACCAGGTGAGGGAGTTTTTGTTAAAAAAATAAAGGCTTGCCAAAAGCTCAGGACTTCCCAGCTTTTGAGGTCTCTTCTTTTATGACTCCATATTAACCATATGTGTGGCTCATGTGACAGCAAGTGTGAAATGACTTAATAAACAACCCTGGGCTGTTGCACTTCCTATGAGTATTTGATGGCAGTGGTCGTCTTAGTCTGTTGGAATTGCTATAAAAGCATACCATAGACTGGTTGGTTTATAAACAACAGAAATGTATTTTTCATAGTTCTGAAGGCTGGGAGTCTGAGACTGGGGTGCCAGCGTGGTTGGGTCCTCTTCTGGGTTGTAGGCTTCTCCTCACACGGTGGAAAAAGCAGAGAAAGGAAGCGAGCTCTTTCATGACTCTCAACAGTTCCATCCTCATGACCCCATCTCATTCCAAATACCTCCCAAAGGCCTCATCTCCTAATACCATGACGTGGAAGGGTAGGGTTTCAACATAGGAATTTTGGCGAGGGGAAGGACACAACATTCAGTCTTTAACAGCACTTGGCTACTCAATAGCCTTTTCCCTCCGTCCTTGCACACAAATTCCACTTCCAGTATGGAAGCCAGTAACCCTCCCAGCTGCATTACCGGCCGCACAGGCATGTGACCCTATCCTGACCCATGATACTAAGGGGAAATTTGCTAGGGGTATATTTTTTGGAAAAGTTTTCCTCCCTATTTAAAAAAAGGAGGGAACTCCAAGGGGATGAGCTTTCTCGTTGTCTTCCTTTGGATGTTGTAGTGTGAAGACAAAGAATAACAGATAAGTCAATCTGGAATCTCATTAACCTTGTTACTGTATTCGTCATGCTCAAAAAACAGATACCTCCTTGTTTAAGCTGGCAGTTAGTTAGATATTCTGTTTACTGAATCTGATGACTCCAATAGACGACGGTGTTACAAAGACTGTTCTATGGCACGTGGCAGGGAATCCATATTTAGCTGCAGTTTATTCTTCCCTTCACCAGCAAAAAAGTGTTTATTATTTTTTTCCTCACTACACGGAAGACCAAAGAAAGAATATAAGGAGCAGGGCACCAAGACATAAAGAACATCTAGTGCTGGGCTTGGAAAAACACAGGAGCATCAGCAAATAAGCTGGCAAACCAACAAAGTAAATAGTATTCTGCCATGCATTAGAAAGAATCAAATTCTCCTTTGTAGAGAAAGGTTGTATGTAAAGGGAAGACTGGATAAGAGCATAAACAAAAACTTATCAAACTCAACACCCAAAGAACAAATAATCCAATCAAGAAATGGGCAGAAGACATGAACAGACATTTTTCCAAAGAAGACATCCAAATGGCCAACAGACACATTAAAAAAATGCTCAACATCACTCAGCATCAGGGAAATCCAAATCAAAACCTCAATGAGATACCACCTCACACCAGTCAGAATGCCTAAAATTAACAAGTCAGGAAACGACAGATGTTGGCGGGGATGCGGAGAAAGGGGAACCCTCCTACACTGTTGGTGGGAATGCAAGCTGGTGCAACCACTCTGGAAAACAGTATGGAGGTTCCTCAAACAGTTGAAAATAGAGCTACCATTCGATCCAGCAATTGCACTACTGGGTATTTACCACAGAGATACAAATGTAGGGATCCGAAGGGGTACGTGCACCCCAATGTTTATAGCAGCAATGTCCGCAATAGCCAAACTGTGGAAAGAGCCCAGATGTCCATCGACAGATGAATGGATAAAGAAGAAGTGGTATATATACACAATGGAATATTATGCAGCCATCAAAAGGAATGAGATCTTGCCATTTGCAACGATGTGGATGGAACTGGAGGGTGTTATGCTGAGTGAAATAAGTCAATCAGAGAAAGACATGTATCATATGACCTCACTGATATGAGGAATTCTTAATCTCAGGAAACAAACTGAGGGTTGCTGAGTGTTGGGGGGTGGGAGTGATGGGGTGGCTGGGTGATAGACTTTGGGTAGGGTATGTGCTATGGTGAGTGCTGTGAATTGTGCAAGACTGTTGAATCACAGATCTGTACTTCTGAAACAAATAATGCAAGATATGTTAAGAAAAAAGAAAAAGAAGAAGATAGCAGGAGGGGAAGAATGAAGGGGAGTAAGTCGGAGGGGGAGACGAACCATGAGAGACGATGGATTCTGAAAAACAAACTGAGGGTTCTAGAGGGGAGGAGGGTGAGGGGATGGGTTAGCCTGGTGATGGGTATTAAGGAGGGCACGTTCTGCGTGGAGCACTGGGTGTTATGCACAAACAATGAATCATGGAACACTACATCAAGAACTAATGATGTAATGTATGGTGATTAACATAAGAATAAAACAATTTTTAAAAAAAGAGCATAAACAAGGACTGAAGACTCTGGAGATGGAAGGGTCCAGAAGCAAGAAGGCAGTAACTCAGGGGAGACCAGAGTAGGACACCAGCAGTGTAAGCTAAGAAGAGGATCAATGAAATCCAGAAAAAGAGAAACTTAAAGGTTTACCTCAGAACACTGTCTTCTCTCAACTAAGCTCTTTGGGTTTCAGTAATTCTCAACTAAGTTTTTGCTTTTCTTGTAAAGACCCAAAGTAAAGTGCCCCGCAACATACTGCTATAGATAGATACCAGGTATGTGTGGGGTCTGCTTTGATTGTTGGAATAAAGATTCTGGTACTCTATTATCAGATTTTTCTATCCAGGTGAACCTCTTTCTGGCAGTATTTTAAGTTAGATATTTATTAAGCACTTGTGTTAGCTGGTGGTATGACAGCCACCTCCAGAGATGGTTAAACAGGCACAGCCAAGGAAGGGAAGATGGCCCCATCTGTCCACTAACAACGCTGGCAGCCCCAAGAGAGAGGTCCAGGCATGCGGCAATCTGTCACATCCCAGCTATGGGTGTCCCGTGGTACTTTTAACAGGAACCAAGGTGCTACACTAGTCAACTGGCCCCTAAGAATGGGACTCCTTGACCTGAGGCAACTAGAATTAAACCACTTCACCAGAAAAGAAAAAATGGATTCCTTGATATGGCCTACGCCCTTCCTCACATTCACATGCCAGTTTCTTTAAAAAGGGAACCTCAAGTTCCTAACACGAAATTGATCCTAATGCTTTGTAAAAAATCATGTGAAAACACAAACAAACAAAAAAAACAACCCTCAGAACTATGAATGAATGTGTATGAAAGTCCTCATACACTGAAGCCCATGTGAAATATGGCTGATCCAACCCATCAGGAAATAGTGAGTCTTCCCACAGGGCCCAGTTTGCTTTAGAGCTAAAGATGGAACTAGAAACTCCAATTCATATCATCTGATTCTGATCAAGGGCAGAGTCTTTCGGCCATTCTCTCAGCATTCAAAAACTGTGGTGTTATTCCCTCGATAGCACACAAACCCTCCATGAGTCGCAGAGTCCCAGTGGGGATTTAAGTGTTTGCCTCTGGTGAAAATGGGATTTTCCATGGAAAATGTGACACAAACACTACCTTTCAGATCTCAAATGAATCAGGTTTTATACCAGAAAGACTTTTCCCATTAAAACTGTACTTTGGAGAACTGGCTTTCAAAGGGCCTGTGGGCTTCCTGATGGTCCCCTCGGGACTTCCTGGGGCCCCATGGCCTGTTCTGTTCTGTTCAAGTTTAAAAAAGGGAAGAATGCAGAACAGTGGGAAGAGTATGGAGTTGTGGAGTCAGATCTGGGTTGAAATTTGGAGCCTGCTGCTTCCTCATTATATGATATTGGACCAATTAACTAATTTTTCTGAGTACCTACCATAGGGGGTTGATGTGAAACAGTACATGTCATGTACCTAAGAAAACATAAAAGATCATCGTGTTAAAGCAGACTCATAAAAATAGAGATCTTACCCAGTATCAAGCTTTGCTACTAACTTCAGGGAAGGAAGCAATCACAAAGCTCAGGTAAAGCAGCCAATGGTCTGGAACTAATGCAGCTCCCTAGGCCTTTCATGCCACAGCAAGATATTCTCTTGCCCGGATTCACAGAAAATCTCTGAGCCACGTATGTGGCCACATCACCTACACATCAAGTTTCCTCCCATTATATTCAGGTAGTTACATAATTTACTTCACCTTTTCCCAGGACCTGTGCCCAATACATCCATGGATTCCAAGTTTGCTGCAAATGAGCAACCCAGGCAGGCCAGGTACCTCCTTCTACAAGCATTTCATAGATAAGAACCCTACACTAGCAAATATCATTAGTGTGTTCACATGAAGATTTGATTGTTACCTTCCTTCTTTCTTTCCCATAGGCTTCCCCCTGGTAAAAGGAGAGAGGATGGATTGCAGGCTTATTACTAAACATTTCTTGCCCAGCACCTAACCCAGACTGGTACGTGACAGGTAGTAGCTTTTATCACATCATTTAAAATAATAACTATAACATGACTATGCTTATCCTTCCATTTCTGCCTGACTTTCCAGGTCTTGCATGATTCAGCCTCTCTATTTTCTGCCACTACTCATCTAGGTCTCCTTTCCCCAACTGATACAATTCTCATCTCTGCCTTTTCTGCTCTCTCTCTTTTAAGACTTTGTTTATTTATTTGACAGAGAGTGAGAAAGCATAAGCAGGAGGAAGGACAGAGGGAGAGGGAGAGGAAGAAGCAGACTCCCCGCTGAGCAGGGATCAGGGGATCCCAGGACCCTGGGATCACGACCTGAGCTGAAGGCAGACACTTAACCAACTGAGCCACCAGTGACCCCAGCCTTTTCTCCTCTTCTTCTATTCCACTGTTCTACCCGCCTCTCAAGGACAGTTATGTGCCCCTCCCTCCTGGAAAACCTCCATGCCTACTTCTGCCCTCTGAGTTTGCCCTCTCTACCATCTATAATCCATGTTCTAACACTGAACCTGGAGCGTCTTATATCATACTATTTCTTACTAGTGCATGTGTGACAGTGTTCTTTCACCAAATAGCTTATAAATCCTATTAGAGCTGAGAACTCTAACTTCATCTGAGTCACTTATACCAGGAAGCATCCCTTGATCTACCTCCCCAGCAGACATGGTCTCCCTGGTACTGCCCTCAACAGCACCCCACTTACCATATTAAGATGCTATCATAATTTCTTGTAATTTCTGATTTCATTGTTGCCTCTTTTTATGAGCAACAAGCTTCAGGAAGACAGGGTCATGCCTCTCTTGCTCACTCTTTTTTTTTCTCTTGCTAACACATATCCCAATATTGTATACCTAGATACAATACCTGCCAAAGAGTAGATAATTAATAAATATTTTTTAAAGAAATAGGTTTTCTAGTAGTACAACTGGTGGAGCAAGGAAGCCTGTTAATCTAGACACTGAACACATTGAGCATCTACTCTGGGTACTTGGGATGCACAGACAAACAGGATTTCGGTCACCTGATCTCTGGACTGGGCAAGTTTGAGTGAACTTCTTTATTATCATTATCTGGGGTGTCCAGATATGTACAAAATAGCCATGCAGATATAATCAAAGCCGGATCCCATCAGTGAAGCCTGATGAGTTAATGGGATGAAAGGAGAAAACCAAAGGCATGTATTTCTGAAGGGGTATGAATGGTTTCCAGAAGACTTCCTGCTTCTGCTGGCCCTTCTTCCTCCCCAAATGGCCTTTATATAAGATTTACTACTGACCCCTATTCATGTGAAAATCTTATAGCAATCCTTAAACTGAGCTTTAATTAGTAGCTAGTAGATCTCTCTCCTGCCCTTCATCTCCCTGTTCCTTGTGAGCAGTACTACATTTGGATAGGCATATGCTAGGACACCTTTCTGGAAACTTATTTTTAGAATGACACAGTCTGAACAGCATTCCAACTTGTTCATAACAGATTTCGGCCACCAGCATAACAAATTCAAAGCTACATGCTAATTCACTACAATGTTCAAACCGTATCATAGTATGGTATTTAATTTTATCCATCTTAATATCACCCTATATAATAAAAGACATCATAGTGTCATTGCTTTTCTTAAGTCAGCGCACTTCTCATGGGTTTAATGCAAGGTCAGTCCATTCCCCAATCTTCTGAAAAACAAGGGAGACAATGATTTCAGTGTTGATTAGTTGTATCTTATAAATGTTAAAGAGAAACTGTGGTAGACCAATCTCTGAACTCCTTCTGGGAAGAGGGCTTGGAATTATGAAATAGAGGCAGCTGTTCATATATGATATTTTCTCAAGCTGGTGATTTTCTTTCTTCCTTCCCTCCCCTCCTCCCTTCCTCCCTCCCTCCCTTCCTTCCTTCCATGCTCCCTTGGCCAAATGATTATGTAGGACAACTCAAGATGAGAAAGGTTCTTCCACTCAGGCTTTCACCTACTGATGCTACCTTCCTAGTGCCCAACCTAAACTTGTCTGCAATCTACACCAACATTACCAGCTGCCTTCATCCATACATCAAAAAGATTGATTCTCTCAAAAACCACCTGCTGACTGCTTCTTTTTCGTCATTACATCTTCCCTCCCACTAATGCTCCTCTCTTTTTCTTTCCTCCTGGAAGGTCACTCTATATCCTTTGGTACGCTCTTCAAAGACTTTCTCTGTGCTCTGTCCTCCTCTGTGGCCATGTGTTAGGAATGAGTTCTCTGCTCTCCCACTAAATGGGAGCTCTTTGAAGGCAGGATCTGTGTCTCATTTGCCTTAGCATTCCCACTGCCTTTAAAAGGGTCTGGGACCTGGTGAGTGTTGAGTAAATGTTTGGATTTAATGAATACATTGAATTAACATTGAATCAAAGAACAACTGGGAGATACAAAAAGAAGTGAGTTTAATGATCCATATTTTAGCACTTCATTCATCTGGGACAGAGGAATAAATGGCAAGAAATCTTCTAGGCAACAACATCTTACCCTGTGAAGGCAGTTTGACGGAGAGGCAGTAACAGTAAAGGACAATAGAAGTTTCGACCGTGCCTTATGTAGTCTCTGAGGACAGGTGGACAACACTGATTTAAAGAGAAACTTGAGGAAAAAAACGACAAAAGAATCCATCCCTTCAACTGCTTTCAATTAAGCCAATGTAACCCCCTTCCGATTTATCAGAAGTCACATTTTTTTCGCTCTTTCTACACCATTTAGAACTCTGACCAATGATTCCAGATGGTTCTGCTTTCCCAAATAGATTTCAGTACCATCTCCAACACAATAATTTGGATTGAAAATGAAAACAAAAAGAACTGCAATTGCTTGAGTGGCCTCTTCTTCCCCTGCCCCATCTGCTTCTAGGAGGTCTGAGGCCCAGAAGCCCGCCTGCAGGGGCCTGACAGAGGTATCGTGAAGGAATGCAAACAACATTCAGAAAACAGAACCTCAGAGTTTTGGTGAAAGAATGGAGTTTCGGGAGGTCCCTCTCCCTGATGTGCCCATGAATCAGAGTTAGCTGGACTTTGAAAAAGCCATTATTACTTAAGGCCTACTTGAAGTAAAATCTGTCTTGTACTGTAAACTCAACCCTGCAATTCTTAACACCGACCAGCCTGGCCTGTTTCCAGACAGCAGAGCCTAAACTACAGAGAGGGGGGAACAGACACAATTGTCTTATTTTATTAGTGCCCCTTGGCGCACGGTTCTGGCCTCAGATATTCCCTCAGCTCATCCTCAGGATGCAAACATTTGCCTGACGGATAAGTAGTTGGCATCAGCACATAAAGCTCCTCAGAGGAAAGATACAGTCCTATTATTTGACACAAGTTATTATGCCTTTTACACAGAAACAGGATTGGAAAATTTCAGCGAGTGCTGTTTGCCTTCTTTCGATGTCCTCGAGTTCTCCTCAGAAGCTTAAAGTGGATTTTCAGACTTTTGGTATCAGGATTTCCAGATTCTCTTTCTCTTCTAGTAAGGCAGGTATTCTTATTCGAGGCGATAATAATGACAAGAGCTGCTCTTCATGAATCTACCCCTGTGTCGGGTTCTGCGGCAAAGCCCTTCACGTGAGTTACCTCTGTATTAGTCTGCTAGGGTTTCCATAACAAAAGCCACGGCCTGGGTGGCTTAAGCAACAGAAACCAATTTTCTGATACTTTTGGCAGCTAGAAGTCTAAGACCAAGGTGCCAGAAAATCTGGTATCCTGTGAGGCTTTTCCTCTTTGCCCAGGAGAGAGAAAGAGACCTCTGGTGTCTCTTCCTCTTTTTGTAAAGACACCAGTCCTATTGGATTAAGTCCTCACCATACAACCTCGTTTTAACTTGATTATCTCCTTATAGGCCCTGACTTCAGATGCAGTCATACTGGGGGTTAGAGCTTCAGGATATGAATTTTGGGTGGAGGGGGGTACACAATTCAGTTTGTAACCACTTCACTGAGTCCTTACTCCAAGCTCAGGAAGTCAGGGGAATTCTCTACTTTTTATTACTGAGTAAACTGGGAGTTAAGTAATTTGTCCAAAGTCTCACTGCCAATAAATATCTTGGTGATGGTGGTGTTTCTTTTCTTATAGGAGAAGTGGTGATACGGAGAGCTCATTGGTATGAATGCAGGCTCGCTCATACAAAAGTCAGAAAGGAACTCACAGGCGAAAAGGAGAGCAGAGGACTGGACTCATGGCAGTTCTACTCAGGCGGGTCCCTTGTGCTGAAGCTCTGGGGACACAGACAAGAAGACATAGTCACTGTCTTCCCGGAGCTCACTGTCTCAGCAGCACTGAATGGAGTCTTCCTTCCCAGGCCCTGATCTGCATAAAACTAGGAAACAAGAAAATGTCCCCTTGGACCCCTTCCTTCTCTGAGAGACCCTTCTGGGTCCCCCTTTGGTGTCACTCTCCCTAGAGGCCCCCCTTTGTGTCCATCTGCCACATGGTAGCTAGCACCACAGTTTACCTAGGGTCTTCACTGGTGGTGACTCATTTCTTAATGGTTCTTCCTTTACTTTCACTCCTGTCCAGAGCTTCTTTTTTCCTTCCAGGAAAACATCTTTGTTCCGAGTCCCATTCCCTAGAGGCAAGCCTCTCAGCTAGGAAAGGAAAAAATTGTCATAGCTCATTTTTTCATCCCCCTGGGTAGTGTACTGACATTTTACTGGTGGTCTCTGGAGAACTGGGGACGTACAACACACATCTCAGGCACCACAGTGGGGATTTTTTGAGGGCAGGCAGGTCTGTCTGTAGACATTAAACCCATAGTGAGTGGGACGTCATGCATCCATCTTGGGCTTTTCACAAATGAGGCTGTTCCTGCTACTGCACAGAACTCTGCTGAAGGGTGTGTCATAGACCCTGTCAATGCTTCACTCATATGGCTTAGACCTCACATTTCAGAATGAGGAAGGCCATGCTGCTTCTGGGTGCCGGCCAAGGACATCCCTGGGAGTAACCCTCAATCAATGACTCTCCAGAGAGGGCGTATAAATACCTCAGCTCCCTCATCCCTGGGTGGGGGATCATTCTGAGGCATGGGTTTTATACTGTGACCTCACATTTCCCTGTGGAGTTTCGGTCACTCACTGCGGGAAATAGCACAGGAACATACCTATTACTGGCTGTCTTCCCTTCTCCAGATTACTTCTCCACTACCAAATGGCAGATGGTGTTTCCTGTGTTTCACAGATCAGCTACTTGCACTAAAATCCGTTTTTTATTGTCAGCTTCTGGAGAGACCCAAATGGAGACAGGAGTGCAGCTGGACAGTATGCAGGACTGGCTCTCTCGTCATGCCATGTGGTTGGCCGCCCTCCACTCTTCCCCGCTCTGCATGGCTACAGAAAGAGCGTGGAAAGCCCACACCAGAGCTGGTCTGCCTGTTGAGATGTTTGCAGAGGGCAGTCCCAGATTATGGTGTTTTCTTAACCATACACCCTAATTCTCTGAGTGGAATCTTAACTAGGGTTGGTTTTGCCAGGGCATGTACAGGGCTCTGGGAATTAATCTGTTTCAACAGAATGCATGGGATTTGTAGTCAGAAATTCCTTATTTGGATTCCAGCTCTACCATATATGAGCTATGTGGCTAAACTTCTCTATACCTTAGTTTCCTCATCCATAAAATGGAATAATAATTACTCTCTCAAAGGACTGTTCCAAGGATGACAGTCATAGCTAGTAAGGTTCCAAGAGGCTTACATGAAGTTAAGGTAACTCAAAATAACCTTAGGAGGGTGTATCACAGATCCCTTATCCAAAACCCTTGGACCCTGATGAGTTTTGGAATTCAGAATTCAGGTTTAATAAAGATAACAGGGTAGATGTAATATATATGGCAGGACCCCCATCAGGGGCTGAGGGAGTTCCCTAGACTCAATATTTCTGCACCAAAAATAGGAAGATCTATAGTGTGTGGTAACACTCATGGAAAGTATCGTTTTGGAATTGCAGATAGAGGTTATGTCGCGGAGAAGTTAAGCAACTTCTTAACTTCAAGATCACACACTAGGATTCAAACCCCAAGGACTAGTGCCAGAGTCCCTGCTCTAACCATTACACAGCACTGCCTCCAGCAATGAGACCCTCTTACCAGAATGAATGAAGGTAATAAGGGACTTGTATCTGATTCATAAGAAAGGTGAGAGCTGCTTTTTATTAATATCATAAATAAATTTATATAGATTATTTCTCCCAGAAACAAAATTAAAGATGTGGTCACATTTGAAACATTAATACTATAAAATATCAGCCTACAAAAAATAATAGCTACCATTTCTTGAAAATGTACTGAGTAATTTATATATAGTCATTTCCTTTAACCCTCATAAGAACCGTAGAGACAGGTTTTTTTTAGTATCACCCATTTTCTAGATGAAGTTGAGCAGCTTAACCAAGGTCACCCTGAAATAAGTGTGGGGCAGGAGATCCAATCTGGGTCTGCTGATGCCTTTCAAACTCATTTTCATCTTTTTGAAATATGAGGGTTCATATTTGGTCTGTGGGGTAGGACACTGCCCTGCCTCCAGTGGGCAGGTATATGCTGCTGACCATCACTGTGTAGTCTGCTGAAGGTCACAGGAGAGCTAGCATCCAAAGCATCAACTACCTTGGACTTGCTACCTTGAAGGTCTTGCAGTGATTGACTTCTGCTTTGGAAAGTGCCACAGCTCAATATAATTTCTTTCTGCTGCCTACTCTCGCCACTTTGACAAAAGAACAGTACCTAGTGTTCACTAGAAGATGCAAGGGAATTGATTGGAAAGAAAATTTTATCTTATTCCAGTCCTGTCCATAGTGTTGTACCATTCTATATTTAGATAAATGCTCTGCGCCGCCAAAGAGACAATAAAAACAAGCTGAAAAGGTACTAGGCTCATGCCGGGAAACAATAAGAAGCTGAAAGTTCTCATTGTTTGCCCAGAGAATGACTATTTAAAAAACAACAGATAATCAAAACAAGCCGTCTCTGCAAACACTGTGCTTTAACGTCTGGGCGGTATCATACCGGCGAGTCAGTTGAAGAAGGAGGAGGAGAGCAGGGTCCTCTTATGCCTTTATAAAAATGAGGCTCTAAGAGGGGAACCTATTCAAGTCTCAGCCCGGACTACTTGTAAAGTTAGGGAAGAAAGTCAGTAGAAAAGTCACAGGCTGGCTGGAGGGACACCCTCTATGCTACTACCCCACAGACCAAATATGAACCCTCATATTTCAAAAAGATGAAAATGAGTTTGAAAGACAACTGAGGTTCATTCATTCATGGGTCTGAGGGCTTGACAGGTAACCAAGGTCCAAGCCCCCCTTTCCCCTTGAGAACCCTACTCTGGGTTCTCCTAGAAGGCTGTAATTCTTCCATTATTTAAAGGAACACGTTTCAATCATTGACTGTCTTCCACCACAGTTATTTGTACACATCTACTTCTTCTTCTTCCTTTTTTTAAAGTAATTACAAACTCAAATATGATGAGTGTATAAAATCTTGATTAAAGTAATTACAAACTCTTTGAGGGTAGAGAACAATCCCTAGTTATTTTATAACCTCTATGGAAGCTAACATAGCATCTACTAAACAGATTTTTAAGTGGAACTCTGTTGCTCGAAGCCTTTTTCAGGCGTATCTTCTACTAGTTGGGGTCAATAAGTAGTTTTCTTTTCTGGTCCCGTGAAGTATCACATTTCTGGACTCTACCTAGTCTCTTTCATTTCTATTCTCAAACATACCAAATCTTGCCTGAGCAGATCTGTCTTGTTATACCTTGCTAAACACAATAAGTGACAACCAGCCTCTGGAGACAAAAAGCTTCTCCAGCACTTGGCCTGCTTTTAAATTATCACCAGCAACAGATTTACCAAATGCTTTGCTATCATTTCCATGGGTCTCCACCTTCCCAGCCTTCCAGATCAGTGTCTGAGCCACGTACCATCCAACTGGAGGCAATGCAACATATTTTAGGTTTCTCTTCCATTAACCCCTCACCTCAAAGTGCCAATTTCTAAATTTCTAAATTCACTAGATATAATAAACAAACCCTGGGATTTCAGGGACCTAACACAAAATAAGCTTGTTTCTTCCAACACAGGTGTTGCTGGTGACAGAGATGGTGGAGAAGGCACACCCTCTTCTAAAATTCTTACCCCAAGAGTGACACACGGCAGTCACGTTCCATGGTTTCCATGTCACAAGTCCACACTTAGATGCAAGAACAGGCTGGTGGCTGTTATTGCCACCAGAGTCTAATAATCATCACAGCTAGAATATATTCTGCATCTTCATTTTGTAAATTGTGTACTTTAATTATTTCATATAATATACACAACCACCCTAAAAAGTAGGAATTATCATCACTTTTTTAGAAATAAAAAAAGTACATAATATATATATATCAATCACTAAACCTCAGTGACTATATATATATATATATATATATATATATATATATACACACACATACATACACACACTAGGGCTCAGAGAGGATAAATAACTTGCTCAAAGTCACATAGCAAACGGCAGGTCAAACGTGAATGCAGACTTGTATGACTCTCAAGCTCCTTTCCCTTCTTTTGTATCATGTAGCAAGAAATACACAGATCTGTTTTGAGACTGGTCAGTGGAAAGGATTAGGGTCAATGATTCAAGTTGGACTTTGAAAGGTAAGCATTTGACCAGCCAGAGAGGAATTAAGACTGGAGAATGGCACTCCTGGTTGAAGCAATATTATGTGCAAAGGTACTGAGGCCTGAATGAACATGGTATGTCTGTGGAAGATATATCTTAGAAATAATTACGATGTTTAGATGGCATTTACCCAAGGGTCCTAGAAATACCCAAATCATGTCCTAAACCTTAGTTACCCCTCTCCCAAATACCACTGAGGGAGTTATCTACCTACAGAACAAAGGTAAAGGAAAGCAAAGTAAGTGTCCTATTCTCAGCTGAAGTCGGGCTCCTATGCCATTTATCCATCCACCTATTGATGCAGAGCCTTTGTAAGCTGGGCTTAGAGCACAAGGCTGAGAGCTCAGAGCAGGAACACTTTTTCTCCCCATAAGCCCAAACCCAACTTCAAGATTTCACCACCCCTCATCTACCATAAATGGAGATAGAAATGTTTGATGCTTCGAGGTGGGAGCCAAAACTTGGCTGGCTATGTCCCAAGCAGGAAGGCCCTGTCCTTCTCCCCATTTATGCCACATGGAAGCAGAAAGGAGAGCTAGGTCTAGTAACTGCTTCTGCAGCACAGGTGAAAAAGGTACAGGAGGAGAGAACGATACCCTTTGTACATAACCCTTGTGTTTAAATGAACTGTACTAAGGTATAATTTACGTAAAATAATATACACTTG